ATACTGCTGACTCAGCTGTTTTGGGGACACAGCATTGGCTTGAAAATCTTGGTTTTTTAAAACGATATAGGTTCAGGAAGCCTCTTCCTAATTAATATACAAAAAATACCCGATTGCAAACCAAGGTGAAGTATGGTGGGCATACACACAAGACACAGTCCATAACGCTGAGGACAGTCTAACTACAGAGAGAAAACAGGCAGCTGGGAAAAAGTAGCAGAGACTGTGCAGTAGCCAAGAGGTCAAAGCCTACGACTATTCATAGCATTTGGCAGACCTTTAGTGTTTCTCCAGTGCTAATTTTATACTTGCATTTTAAACAGGGGGTAGAAATGGCCAGTCTTGAGATAAACCCTCAAATTTTGTGGTAATACTAGGACTCTGGGAGCTGGGGTTCAAGGCAAACAACCAACATTGCCTGAGGTGACTGCAGTGTCAGGGTCCCATCCTTTGGTTTAGCTCAGCCGTAAGGCTGTTGTGTGATTTCTGGTAAGGTCAAATCCTTTCCACAATGGCAATTTTATATTTGAAAATGCTTTTTGTTCACGTTCATTTCTTACACTGTCTTCTTTCCCTTTTTTAGGAGGCTCTAATCTGGGATCTAAACCATCAGAAATAATAATTTTGTGAGGTTGGGGTTTTTTTTCTTTCCTTGAAATAATTTAGCATCACCGTTAAGCCTGCTTGAGTGAATAAACTGATTAACACTTTAATTGAATAGTTCTGCCAGTCTGGTAATAATGTTGAACTAGAGAGTGGATCTTAAGTCCACGAGAGCTTAAGCTAACCTTTTACCAATGCCAAATGGCAACAACTCTTTGAACATGGGATTAGGAAGGGATCGTTAATGCCTCCATACACCTCTGGCCATGCTTAACTTGCCAAGAGAGCCCTCTGAAAAAGGGGCAGAACAGGACAGACTGTGATGTGAGGTCCATGCCTCCTTAGACCTTGGTCTAGGATCTTGGGGTACACAGGTTTTCTATGCTGGTCATTTTGCTTAGGACAAACCCACCAAGATTTCCTGTGATCTAAGAGTTGCCTCTTAGGTCTTTGATTTCTTGCACTTACGTTTCATCTGTGAATGCAATTCCAAAGTACTCCTTCTCCTTCAGGTTGAAATGAGATGCCACCAAGTCAAGCAACTCCTTGGCCAAAAGTTTTGGCTGGAAAACAAGAATGAAAGAAAGTGATTAATGAGGAGAACTTGGATAGAACTGCAATGTGCTTCTAGAGGGAAACGCTATCCTTCAAGGTAGTCTGCTGCTGTTGCTTTCATGTTCCTTCTGGTGTTCAAGCTAAATCTGCAAGCAACATTAGCTCCTTGAAATGAGTAGTAGTTTGCCTCCTAGGTAAATAGTAAAAACCTGGCGATTCTGACCTCTTCAGTGCTTAATGTCTCTGCAGACAGATGACCTGCCACCTGCCAGTGTTCAGATCTGCCATGACCAGCACACTCATGCCTCTCTGATAATTTTAGTTGTTAAAGCTTTTTATCAAGGACCTTTGCAAACACATTTCAGACACCCACTCTCTCACACACAGCAGAGATATATGCTCATAACACTAAGAAAATACATAGTGCCAAAAGATAGGATGTGACAGGACCAAATGAGAAGTAAATGACAGAACAAAATAGTTTCCCATTCGGTATTGCTTGTCATTTGGAAATAAGGATATATCCTCAAATTTAGGCACTTGGAAGGAAAGAGAGGAAAGTAACACACACTTGCAAAATACCCATTGTAAGAGCATAAAAGCCAAGCTCAGAGAAACTGTTCACTCCATACGGAGGACGGTGCATTACTGCCTTTTCTGCAAAACCTTATTTAAGTCCAATGCATCCTCCTGCCTCTATGAATTTTCACCAGCTCTTGTGTTTCCTACTAGACAACTGAAATCTTGGCCATAACAGAGCGCTATTCCTGACTGCCATGGGTAGGAAACAGAGGTACAAAGGATCCAGGTAGATGCAGCCTGTGATCCCACAGGCTGTAATAGCCCCAGATCCCAGAGCTGCAATGGTTACAGCAGCGCTGGCACAGCTGGGGTCAGAGATCCCAACAATGTTCCCTGGTGACTGCTCATAAGGATTTGGTCTACAAATCTCTGTGCTGCAAGCCTCAGTGAAAATAAAGCTGTCTGCAGGCTTGACTGCCCCAATGAGTCCACCAAGCAGCTGAGTCAGAGTTACCCCCGACGTGAGCCTGTTGTTAAAGGGAGATGAAATGATGCTGCTGTGCCGAAAACGGGTGGCAGGGACCTGAGAACCCTGCTGTCCTAATTGCCCTGTCCTGTCCATACAAACACAGCTTGTGTTTAAAAAAAACCCTTGATGTGTACTTAATTTCCAAGTAGATTCATAAGACTCTCACCCGCTCTCTAATAATGGTCCTAATCCCAGCACTGTCATAATACCTGACACAGCTGAGCCAAGCCTGAAGCACTTCTCTGGCATTCATGGGAGCCTTTTTGCCATCTTCTACCTACCCGTCTGTCTGCCTGCTACGGCCCAATGCAGTTACCAGCAACATCCACGCTGCTCCTTGTCTGTGCACCCAACGCATGGGTGGTTTCTAGGTCATGCCAGCAAAGAAAGAAGCAATAGCCAGGCCTAAATGCAGCACTAGCTTAAAGCAGCCTCCAAATATGAGATGCTGCGTAGGAAGAACAGCCTGGTGGATAACGAATAGGTGGGTTGCAACAAGCTTCATTTTAATTCCCAAGTCAGACTTCTCAGGCATAACTGTTGGAGTCTCTGCTATGTCTGCGCTACCTACTGTGTTGCCTTTCCCAGACTCCTGAACCAGCTCCCGAATGGCACTCAGAGCTGAGCAGACCAGGCGTGGGGCCATGGTCGTGTCCTTTGCCCCCTTGAGTCCCTTCAGGGACCCAAGCAAAGAGCACACGAGCTACACCAGTCTCTTTGGAGTTTCCTCAGATACTTCTCTCCTGGCATTGTGCTGGGTGGGATGGATATTCCCAGCATCCATGTCTCCTGTAAGATGAACCTCCCTTTGCCCGAGCTTTTTAAGGACAAGCTACAGTCTAGGTACGCAGGTACTGTGATGAAGAGGATGGTAAGACTGCCATGTGAATTCAGAGATCCATAGGCTCTGTGCATGTACATACTGGGGGCATTGGATGAGTTTCCAGTTTAACAACAGACAAACAAACACAGACTTGTGAAGGAGACAGAGAGGAAGGGGGTTTTGTGCAGTCTGAGAGCCCAAGCCTGCCCAAGCATCCCTGTTCCTTTCTTTCCCAATTGGGCCAAACTCTCTCTGCACCAGAAAGGGATTTCTTCCCAGCCCAGTGCTACCACAGGAGGAGGAGTGGGACTGGATGGCTGGTGATTGGTGTAAGGGACCAGGACCACTGGCGGGGGCGGCTGGTGGAGGTGAATGTGGGCATCCCCGTGACAGCACGCATTGCAGGCATGGCGCTGTGTGGCTGGCACTGCCTGGCTCCCACTGCTCTGGGGTGACTCAGTTATTTGATAAATGGGCTATTGTGCTGCCAGGCAAGGAAGGAAGAAATCAGCCAGCCTTGCTGCATGTCCCACCTGAGAGGGCAAGGGTGGGGAAGGGTGGCAAAAAAGCGTGCCTCAAACACAGCAGCATTTTCCCAAGCCTGGGTTAAGTACTTGGAGGGGATAGGTTGAGTTTTTGTATTTTGCAAGAAAGCGGAACAGAGCAATAAACGGCTGATGCGAAACAGGCTGCCTGTGGACATGGGGAAGTGATGGATCACTCGGCTTCAGCTAACCAGCACTATCACATGGGTCACTGGACAAGGGGTAAAATCCCCTCCTAAATCCCTGACACATCATGGAGAAGTGATGCCCAGTGTCCCTCGCCCCACGCGCTGCTGCATCCAGCCCCAGGCATCGAGTGAGGAGCAGCACCTGCCTTCAGCCACCCTCCCCAGGCAAGATGGGTAAATGCAACGTGTTGCCTCCTTATCTCTGCTGAGCGAGACCTGGCTGCTGAAAAAGCCACAGAGAGGTGGTCAGCATGATGTGACAGCCTTCCCTTCTCTAGTGCCTGGTGGCAGCTGCTCCTCTCTCCCAGCACAGCCCCCCTCCTGCCCCTAGAGCTCAGCAGGGGCATGATCTCCACTGCCCTTGCTGTGGGGCCTCCTCCAAAGCCTGCGGTAGCAGATAAAGGAGGATAACCCTTTGCCTTGCAAGATAAGGGAAAAGAACAATAGATGCAGACCCAGCGCTGGAGTGGTGCCAGGTTAGTTACTGGGCCAGCGTCCCTGAATAGGCTTACAGCAGTGAAGTTAAGCCCTGCTAGTCCCCTCCAAGATTACTTTCCACTCTCCTCTTAAGCTCTGCAAGGTTATTGTCCTTTCCAGCAGGATGAGTCCTGTGTCCTCCCAACACAGATGGGCAACCTGGGTCTTCGGAGGCAAGAGGAGGAAGGTGTCTTCTCCAGGTAGCAAAGACTCCTCAAGACAAACGTGCACAGCAGGGGTTAGGGCAGGAAGACGCTGCCAGGCACAAGCATCGCTGCGGCCCGTCCTGCTGTCTCAGGAGAGACCCACGCGCTCGATGTTAACGGTTAATCTGCTTGCCATTCGCGATGGGAACGGCTGAGCAATGACCTCCTTTCATGTGAGCTGCACAGACAAAGAGCTCATTAGCAATGCCTGTGGCAAGTTGTTTTAATTCATTATTAATTTCTGGACTTCATTTTCCAGCAGGCTATTCATTTTGCATTAATAAAACTTCCAGACACATTGAAGAAAATGGGACTGATCTCTGAGAGCAGGGAAATCAATAGGAAGTGAGCCCAAGACTTTCTACATCCAAGATAGCAGGACAGTCAGCAAGACGGCTCGTGAGTCCCGCAGGCATAAATCAGGAATAACAGGTGGTGTTCAAACCAGAAACCAAACCGTGTCCTCAGTGCTGCAGAGCTGGACCGTGGTGCACTGTGAGCTGCCCAGGCAGCTGCTGAGACCCTTCTGCATCTGCTGTTCTTCATCTCATTCCTACCCACACCTTCCTGGCATCCTCCATGTAACCTGCATCAGAAGCAGCAGCCTGGAGGAGCATGTCAGAGCTGCTGGCCTGAACGGGGGACGGGGTACACCAGCAGAAATCCTTCAGCTGGAGCAGAGAGGGCTGAGCATGCTTTGCTGGTGGGGGGGGGTTGTCAGAGGAACATTATTCAGCCAGGGTTTCCCATGCTGCTCCCTCCTGCTACAAGGACCCTCTTTGCAAAAATGCAGGGGCAGGACACTGAAAATCAACTGTTATTTTTGCTAGAGAAATCAGCAGTGTCCTGGCTGTGGTCCCACCACGCCGGGGCTGTAGCCCCAGGGGGAGAAGAGCCTGCTCCCGGTGAGCACTCTCCCCCCACCAGGAGGAAGGGCTGAGGGATCCATGCTCCCCATACAGTGGGGTCTCTGGCACACATCCCAGCCATTTCGTAGCCAAAGGCACTGTCCCTGAGGCTTTTCTGCATGACAGTGAGCTGAGTGCTTTCACAGCTCTGGACCCCTCCCTGTACTCAATTCTTACTCCAGCCTGGGACAGGCAACGCTTTGCAGCCTGGGCTCTCTGGACTTGCAAATGTGACACTTTCCACAAAACTTAGTACCTCAATACTGGGTAAGTGGATCCACCTGCCAGGCATGATGGCATCAGTGCACCATCCAGGGGATTCCTGGTCATCTGTAGAGTGGGCAACTCTTCTGTGAAGTCAAACCTGACTTTGAGGTTTCTCCCTTCCCTCTGGGAGAGGCAGAAGGACAGAGATGGACTCATTAGGCGCTGCCTCCTTATTAGCAGAATGACCCAACACCTTTCACTGTGCCCTGGGCCATGCCTGAGAGGTTTATCTGAAATGCTGCGTAATGCTCTGCAGCTGCAAAGCCCTTCTGCCTCAGCAGTGAGGAGCACACCCAGCACGTGGCCGGGGCTCTTCTGCAATCCCAGCTCCTGCAGCCTCGAAGCAGTGAACTCATTCCCTCCCTCCCCTCCACAACAACTTAAGTTTGTTCAAATAATGACTTAGAGGAAAGGGAGAACTTTATTAGTGGTGTTGGGAGGTGGCAGGGAAAAAAACTGAGCCTCAATAGCAGCTCTGTGACTTGAACTGCACCAGGAAAGCCTCTGCAAAGGCACCAAAGACAGTGCAAGGATGGATGGGAT